CTTGGTTCAAACCTTATCTATCATGGTTCCCCTTGGTGCCCTTTTCCTTTTCCCCTAAGAAATAGTAGATTAAGCCAGATGAAGCACGGGGACTTAATATGGTTAGCAAGTTCTCAACTCCTCAAGGGAAGGAACATTGGCAAGCCATCAAATGGTTTCTTCGCTATTTAACAAGTATATCTTATTATGGTGTCAATTTTTGCACAACCGATACAACTTCTAATTATGGGATATGCAGATGCAGATTATTTGAAAGTTTTTGATGATAGACAATACACCGCTTATATGCTTTTACAAAAACAAGTGCTCCAATAAGTTGAAGGTCAAAGTCGCTAAGTGTCATCACTACGTTTGCAGCATAAGCAAAGTATATCACAATAAGAGAAGCTGCTATCAAGTATACATTACTGAACGGGTTGCTTTCCAATGAGGTTAATACATCATTATATTGTGATAGTCCAAGTGCAATACTTGCGGCAAAGAATCAGGTCTATCATGCTCGACTCATAATGAACATACAAAGTGAGGTTTCATAAAATTAAAGAATTAACATCTTTAGGATGTACCTCTTTTGTGATGCAGAGCATATTGCACCAAATATGCTACCAAAGATATTAAACATAGAGATGTTCCACCATTGTTTGGACTCTGCTCCATGTTGTGGTTGTTAAATAGCTTTTTTTAGTTAGAGGCTTAGGCCGGAAGTATCTATACCTTTGCTTCACTTTCCTTCAAAACCTAGTTGAAAAATCTCAAATTTTGTCTCATATGATGATAGATGTATTTACATAGGGGAGAGGTTTTCTTATAATTTTAGGTTTTCTCCTTCCACTATACAAAGGAAGAATTCCAATTAGTAACTTATTAGTCCTTCAATGAAAGATTTCACAGCTAACTTCCTAGAATAGACAGAATGCTGTTAAACACTCCGTCTCCCCTCTCCCACTTTCACTTTACTCTGTGTATGCGCATGTTTTCACCTCGGTTTACACAATTAAACACTGATATTCCATTCTGCAGCCCAAGTATTATGATTTAACTTTCCACATTTCCTCTTTTGACATACAACATAAGATAAGAAGAAGAAATCACCATCACCACTTACCTGACAGAAGATCTTCCACCGGTACCCTTACGAACGATGTGGCCCCCAGCCTTGGTGGCAATGGTGGATGCATAGCGAGGATTTTCAGGTCCATAATCTGCCAAAAGAAAGATCTTAGTTTTTACGCAAAATGCAAATCCCTAAAGAGTAAAATTTGAGTTTATTAGAGGAAATTGAGAAATTCTCACGGTGATCGGAGAGAGAATAGGTCGAGTTGATAGAATAAATTGAAGATGAAGACTTGAACGATTGATAGGTTAATCGCCTCGAGATGGCCTGCATCTTCGTTTCCCTCAGTTGCAGTTAACAGAGAGCCAGGGAGAGAGGAAGAGAGAGCGAGAGAGTAAATGCTGGGTACAAGGGCAAATTATGAAAACTCCTGAGCTTTATTATAATTTTACAATTTTTAAAACCAAATTAATAAATATATTTATAAAATTAAAAAATATTTTTAAAAAAAATTAAATCGAATTACTGGTTTAATTTTACTTAGGACTTATTCTAAATACAATAATTAAAAATAATAAATAAGTAAAATAATTTTACCCCTTGTCATTTTTACCTCTACAACAAATTACCCATTTATTTATTATTAAAATATCTTAATACAAAATTAATTATCTAATTTTTTTTTTGTTATAAATTAATAAAATTAACCTTCTAACCCAGAAATAATTTAAATATTAAATTCACCATACCTAAATTTTTTAATATATATATATATATATATATATATATAAGACAGAGATTCACAAACTATTTGGTAATATTAAAATTAAATTTTGCAAAGATGTAATTTTTCCAAACTCCCACTTATTAAATTCAAAATTTTATTGCCCATTTTATTGGTAATTATTTTTACCAATCCATTATACTTTATTATAATTTAGAGGTCACCTTGTAATTTGTCTTTTAATTAATTACATAAATATTAAGTTGTTGAGTAAAAAAAAAATATTTATAATTATATTTGAAATAAACTCAAAAACATACAATAATATTTGAATTCGTTTCATCAAATCATTTAACTATCAAATGTTAAAAATTTCATCTAAAATAATAAAAATTGATTTTTATATAAAATTAAAACAGTACTTAGAAACTATATATCCTCAATGGGAGCTTTTCAAATTTTTTTTTTTTTTTTTTTGTTTCATTATCATGATGCAATTTATATATTCTCCAAATTAAATTGAGGGTTCATCGATAAATCGAGTTCGAATTATTTCTAAACTTATTCCAAACCATCACGTATATGATAAAAAGGACACAAACAGAAACAGATCAAAACGGGAACTTACGAAATAAAAACAAAAATCAACATGAGAAGAGCTCCAAGCTGAAAATTTACCACCAGAGAGACAGTGGAGTTTTGTAATTGGCTACTTGAGCTCTACAAAGTTCATTTCCTACCTAAATAAGAGAGCCTGTTTCAATCTTAAAAACCACTACTTTATTGCACATGATTCAACAAATAGTAAACCCTATCCGTGTGAAACCATTACCCACCTCTACCCATTTGGCTTATTTCCTGCCTACACAATATGCCAACCATGCCTGAAACTTCCTCAGTCTAGTTTATTAAAGGGAATGATTAGCTTGCAATTGCCATGATCTACAAACTACCTCTTTTTCCACTTCAATGGGAACTTGGTTTTCGTAACACGACATGCACCTTGGTCCTTCCCAGTTGCATCTTTAGGCCTGCCGAGTGCAGCAGCAGCGGCGGCAGCGGCGGCGGGGGGCAATCACTTCATTCCGGAGTACTCCCTCCTTGCTGCTGCCTATGACATGAAAGAGTTTTCCAGCATACCATGTAATTCAAAAATCTGGTATGCCACTAGACCTCGACGAATATTCTGATACCAACTTTAAAAACATGGATGATTTATCCTCTAAAAGTCTTGCTGGAGTATCAAACTCTGCAACACGACCTGCAACAAATGTTTAAAGCAAAAACTCAAAATCTCTTACCAAAAAGCATCAAACTTAAATTGCAGAGAGAAAGAGATAAATGTATTAGTAGTACCGAATCTTTCCAATTCTAGAAAAACTCACCGTCATTTAAACTACACTAGATGCATTGCATGTAAAATGACTTCCAAAACCTTGAAAAAACTAAATAAGATAAAATCACTAGCCCAAATAGAGTTAAACACAATCCAGAACATAGCACCAGCAGACAGGGAGTTTTTAATGCCGCTATACACATGCTGATGTCGCTACTAAATTAGGCTTATTGGTATTGTTAAAAACTTTCTGTCTTTCCCTAATCCAGTCCTATCAAATTGAAAAAATACATCAATAGAACATAAATATCAAGCTTTAAATATACTATACTCACCGTCACTGAGTACCAAAACTAGATCACTGTCTATTACAGTGGGAATACGATGAGCTATAGTGCAAACAGTGCAGTCCTTAAATTCTGTTCGGATAATCTTCTGAATGAGATTATCTGTGGCTGTATCAACTGATGCTGTTGCTTCATCGAGCACCAGTATTCTTGCCTGCTTAAGTAAGGCCCTTCCAAGAGAAACAAGCTGCCGCTGCCCCACACTCCAATTATCTCCATTGTCTAGCACTGTAATTTTTATATTGAAGCACCAAATATAAATAAACCAACAAGACCAAGATCGTAAAGAAAAAAAAATTGTTTATCTCGGTCAATGGAAGGCCACTACTAACCCGGAGTATCAAGCTTTTGGTCTTTCTCACGGACTACATCACCAAGCTGAGCCTTATCAAGTGCCTGACATCAAAATCCAAGACACAAATAGGTAAATTTTTGCATAGTGTAAAATTTTATATTTTTTCGAAATGTTAAAAATGGATGATTGGAAACAATATTCATCCAGACATCAACTTAAAGTCGTGAATGGTAGGAATCGATCTTCAGGGCAACGTAAATGAATCATACAACATACAATCGGTTGTATCAAACTGAAAACATGTCAAGCTTTGATTGGCATCAATGTTGAGAAAAAATGATAAATGACTTCCAATAACTTCAGAAGTAAAATTTAGAGGAAACCACTTCATAGAAGAGATGACTAAATATAAAATTTATCAAAATGGCTAGAGGTTACTCAAAATATCTCCAGAAGCTTATAACCATTTTACAGATTAATGAAAGATTGGAAAAACATCTACTGGTAAGATATTCGACTTATAACCATTTTACAGACTAATGAAAGACTAGAAATACATCTATTGGCAAGATATTTGATTTCAAAAGTAAATATAGGAGAATTACAGGAAACTTTAAAAAAGAACAGAAACAAGGCACATAAATTAAACTCTACCTCCCAAATTTCAGGATCTGAATGTTCTTCAAGGGGATCAAGATTGCCCCTAATGGTCCCTTCAAATAATGTAGGGTCCTGCGGTATGATACTAAGACGACTCCGTAGGTCATGAAGGCCAATTTTAGAAATATCTATGTTGTCTATAATAATTCTTCCACTTGCAGGTTCTATCAGTCGGAACAGCGCTTGAATCAAAGTAGATTTACCACTGCCTGTACGTCCAACAATTCCAATCTTTTTTCCACCAGGAAATGCGCAGGTTATTCCATGCAGGACCATTGGAAGATTCTCCCCATAACGAACCTTTATAAAAGGATGGACAAGAGAAAGAGTCAGCATTCACAGCCTAACACAATAATACAGAACCAGTAGAAGGTAACATCACTCTGTCATCCCTTGATTCCTTTTCCTCTAAAATCTATTCAAAATCACTTCTATTTACAGCAAACTGGCTGGATGAAAATCTTAATTCCTTCTCTTTTTCCTGTGTTTTGTCCAGAAGTAAACATTTCCTAACCAAATTCAATTTAAGTTTCTACAAATAAATGACAAATATCCTCTTGCTTGGATAGGAAAACAAATTGGTTTTTAGGAGGATTCATCCCTGTGCACCTTGCCCATCAAGTTGGGAGTGACATCAGCAACCAATTCATCTGAGGAAATGAAATAAGCAGCAATTTTATGATTTCCCTATCTTGCTAACAAAATATTACTTCATACACCAGTCACTGATGGAAGAAACTTTAAAATTTGATCGTGAAAGGATCTCCCCTATTTCGTTCTTTAAAAATTCTCTCTCCTATCTGCAGCACATGGACATGCACTGCCATAAACACATTTATCAGATCAAAGAGGGGTATGAAACTCTCAAGACTCAGTTCCCAATGAAAATCAAACTTCAATACATGGCTAACCTTTGACCAGGTCAAAACAAGTAATAGAATCTATCTTCAGATTAAGGAAAGACGAAACTGCAAATTATACCTTCAAATCAATCAGCTCAATTGATCCATTTTCTGGCCATGAAAATGGTGGACAAGAGTCATCTATAAGTGGCGGGGCTTCACCTGGAATTTGGCTGTACTGGTAAATCCTCTCAATTGAAATAATTTTGTTTTCGAGCTTACAAAAGCTAAGTATCCACCGGGACAGACGTGCATTCAAGTTAAGGCCATATGTCACAGCAAGACCCGCCATGCCTGTTTGAAAGAAACATTTGGATGATGAGCACCATTATGTTAGTGTTAACAAGTTTGTATTTGCTTGCAAAAAAAGTAAATATGTTCTTTAAAACATACTCTTCAAAAGGAAAAAATGAAATTCTATTGTTTGCACCATACTGGAAAATAACTTCTACTTTTTCTCAAAAGATATATATATTTACTGATGGATATGACCTCCAAATCTTGAAATTTTCAAAAAAGATTGTATGCGAAATTTTGCACACATATATGTCATGTAAAATGCAATAACACAATAAAATGTAAAACATGTGGAAAATTGTTTAGAAAAAAATTGAACATAGTATAGATATGTTATAATATTTCCCTTCAATAAGCTAATCAGGTAATTACCCATACTAATAATGGTTGTATGATCAGAAACATACATAACTATCATATTCATAAACAAAGAATTTAAAGATAATTAAAAATAATAGAGTAAAATCGTGGAAGAGGGTTCTGAGAGAAATAACGGTCGATCATATAAACTACTGGACCGGCAAAATAAAACAACAAACACTCCAATGTTTTGGGAGAAATCATAATTTTTTTAGAAAGCTTGCAATGATAAGAATATGCAGATATTGAGTAGTGAAAAAAATATTTACTCACTCGGATCAATAGCTCCATGTGGAAAGCTCACAAGTAAAAGCATGCAAAACGCAAATACAAAGGTTGAAAGCAATTCCATGCGTAAGCATAGCCATTCGATAGCAGCAAGACTGCAGAAGAATGGACGAGCAAAACAATCCAGCAGATAAAGATTCCTCTTCATGAACCTCTTTTCTTGGCCAAAGCCTCTAATTGTAGCTGCTCCAGCAATCGACTCCCCAAAAAGATGGATAATTGGAGACTTCTGGATGCTAACAATGCGAACCAGTTCTCTTGATGAAGCCATGTAATATTTCTGCGTTCAAGTATATTAGCAATTAGCAGCATGTCAATTAATATAATTGAGAAAGGAAGTAAAATCAAATAAAGATTTTGATTTTGAACCCTCTGCTTTTAGGAAGAATGAAACATGGCATAGCTTAATGTCATTCTTCTGGGAACTGTAAAAACAAAAACAAAAACTCAAGGTGACAAACCTAAAAGTAATAGATTACCTGCATCCACAAGCAAGCAATGGCCATTGGAACAACAAGAAGCAAGACTTGCCAGGTAACTTTTGTCATCACTCCAACAATGCCAATAAGCTGTATTGTGGTTGAAGCAAACCCACCAAGTCTAAAAGGAATATCAAGATCCACAACACTTTGATCAATAGACACCTGTCAGATCATAAATGCAAAACACTATATGAAGCAAGAAAAGGAAGAGAAGGGACTGGATAAGAAAGTAAAAGATAATGAGGATCTATCTTTACATATTCCAAATAGCATACATAATTATTTGTTGCATTTCCATTGAAGAGGAAGGAAAAACTTACGCGGTTCAAGATTCGACCAGCAGGAGTAGAGTCAAAGAATGACATTGGTGCTCGGAACACACTTCTAAGCATATTCAGAAACAACTTCTGTGCTGCAGCTAGGCCAAATGTGGCAACCAGAACAGCTCGAACAAAGATGAACCAGGAGCTTCCAAATGCAAGGGCAATAAACACAACAAGAAGGACAGTAGGTGTCACCTTAGCATCGTCTCCTTCAGTTTGGGGACTTGCCCAAGCCATCCACCAATTACTAGCTATTTGAAGGAACTGAAATAATGCTTGGGCGACAATTATGAGAGGAATCAATAAGCCTTTATAAGCTGCAACCATATATGATAAATACACCTTCATGCTGACTCTTCCCCTCACTCTTTCTTCTTCCTGAACAAGTTGCTTTTTCCTAGAGCGCTTTCCTTTCTTTTTCTCTTTAATGGATTTCTGGTCTGAACCTGATCCTCCATCTTGTACTTCCTTTACCAACATACTGATACCATTTCCAGAAGCATCACATTTTGGATTGCGTACATCAGATCCATCCAGGAGCAAATTTTCATCTGAATCATCTGATGAAGGGTTTAGCATATCCATAGCTTCAATTGCTTCGTGATGAGCAGAGACTAACGCGTTAAAATCTGTTCCTGCTTGTAGTAGTTCATCATATTTCCCTGCCTGTATAATACCGCCTTCCTTAAGAACCTGCAAATAGGTAAATTTTCAGCAATTGTTCTAAAGTTAAAACTATGATTATCAAATCTGTGAATAACCTCCTTTAGAGACATACAAATCTCCCAAAAAATGATTATATTGAGATTGAGGTGCAAAAAATGGTGGGGAATTTACTTCTAAAATATTGATGTTTCAAGAAAAAGAAATCTAGTGACCAGATAGCACAATGACCACACAGATTTTTTCTTAGTAGAGACAAGATTTTCATGTTCATCAACATTCCTAATAAAAGAAATCAACAACACATTAGGATGCAAGTTCCAGGCATAAACTCATAGTTCCAATTAGAATTAAGTTACTAGAGAATTTAGGCAATGGATCAGTTCAACAACAAACCTTGATATTTCAAACATGAACTTGCACTTCCAATTAAAATTAAGTTAATAGAGAATTGAGCCAATGGATCATTCCTGGAGTAAACCTTCAAATAACCCAAAATTCAGTAAATGTATTTAAATTCTTTTAATATGATATGACAACTTCTCATCTATATAATGCTTCAATTCCACTAGCTTCGTATGCAAAAGAAATCCATCAACAGCATATCATATTTTTTATCCTACTAACTTTTTGCTTGATAATTTATACCTTGAGTTGCTATAAGGCAAACATAAAAGTATAATACCCCATCGATTTAGTCCAGCTGGTAATTTGAATCCTGTATTCTGATCTCATCATATTATTACTCTTGTGTTTCAGTATATTACAAAATATTATCCTCGGCTAAAATTCTACCATTTTCTAATTAGTAGTTTCTAAATCCCTCGGTTGATATTTATAGTCGCCAGTTACAGGATTGGTTAAGTTTCCGTCAAAACTGAATTAGAAATCCAAGGGAGAGAGTTTCCAGCATTTCTCAGTTAATAAAATAGTTACTTTTCCAGTGAAGTCCCTGAATTGGGTGAAAATGAATCAGGAAAGCAATATAGACATGCAGGCACATCAATTAATTAGTGTCATACCAGTGCAATCTGACATTCAAGAGAGCCCTTCAAAAAGGTGACTCCAAAGAAGCAACGGTGCTACTCAGGTGCATGACATAAAGCCTAAAATGCCAATATGATAATTTCATTGCACAAACCAATATTTAGGAGAAATAATTCAAAAGAACAACTTCTTACCAGAATCAAATCAGCAGCAGGAAGAAATTCTACTTGATGAGTCACAAAAATCACAGTCTTATCTGCTAATGCTGTTAATATATATTCCTGCAGTTGCGGAATTGATGTTTAGCCAAATTTAGATGATAGATAAAGCAATATTGGTGACGGATTGAGTAACTCTTACTCTGAACAATTCCGAGCCAGTTTGTGCATCAACAGCGCTGAAAGGATCATCAAGTAAGTATATGTCAGCATCTTGATAAAGTGCCCTTGCAAGCTGCACTCGTTGCTTCTGACCACCACTGAGATTTATACCTCTATCACCAATTATGGTCTGATCGCCATGTGAGAAAAGTTCCAAATCCTTCTTCAGTGAACAAGCATGGATTACATTCTTGTACTTCACTTTATCCATTGGACAACCAAACAGAATATTTTCTTCAATGTTACCGGACTGAATCCAAGCTGACTGAGAGACATAAGCAGCACTACCACAAATTCTAACCTGTTATAATGAAGGAAATCAATTCTTGCAACAACATTGAAAACAAAATCTTAGAATTAAAAAAAATATAAAAGTTAGAAATTAGAGGTTCCATAATGCTAACTTACTTCACCAGAGATTTTTGGGATCTCCCCAAGAATACAGGAGAGAAAGCTTGATTTCCCAGCACCAACCATACCACAAACAGCCACACGCATCCCCCTCTCCACTTTCATTTGTAATCCCGATAGTGTGGGCCTCAGAGAAGAAGGGTCCCAGCAGAACTCACCGTCCTTGATCTCTATGGCCACATTTGACATGCCGCGAGGCAGAACAATGGTCGCATCTTCTTGCAGCTCTTCATCTTGCAGAAATCCAGAGATTCGATCGAGAGAAACCTTCGTCTGGGCCATCATAGAGACCAAGTCAGGAAAATTCCTGAGTGGTTCTTGGAGGATTCTGAAGGTCGCTAGAGCAGAAAGAACACTCCCTGCAGTGAGATTACTTCCCAAAAATATAGAGGTTGCAAATGTGACAGCTGCAACAAATATGGGGGAGCTCCAGAAAATGAATGTAATAAAAGCTTGAGAATAGAGGGCTTTGCGAAGCCATTTGAACTCTAAATTCCTCATCTCCTCCAACCTCAAGCGATAACGGTCTTCCCAAGCTTGCAACTTGAGAATCCTCATGTTCCTCAGACACTCAGAAGTTTTCCTCATTCTCTCATCCTTGGCAGCCATCAGCCTGTCTTGGTATTCTTCTTGAATTCTTGCCAAAGGAATAGTAACAACAATTGATATAATGGTGGCAATCAATGTAGCAACAGATGCAATTCCCACATTCTTGTACAGGATCGCAAGAGCAAGGATAATTTGCAACGGAAGCATCCATATATCATGAAGATACCATGAGTAGTCACCTACTCGCTGGACATCAACTGCCATGTAATTAACAATTTCTCCACTGGTGTGACTTTGTTTGGCTAAGCTTGAAAGCGTGAGGCCCTTCCGGTATACCATTGCTGTCAAAGCTGATCTCACATGCATCCCCAAAATATCAACCCCAAGATACCACTGCCTAGTTGTTATCGTCTCAATGAGCTTGGCTGCAAAGAATATGCCAGCAAGAACATACCCCTCATGAGGGAAAGTCTCCTTTCCCCCTAAATAATCAACAAAGTAACTGATCATGTAGGGACCCACATATGAAACAAGAGTGTTCAACCCAGCAAAGACAGCATTACAAGCAGCTTCCTTCCAGAACGACTTTAGAATTGCCCAAGCTAGAGAAGGCTGCTTTGAAGGATTCTCAGCCTTTAATTTCTCCCAATTTGAATTCAGTGCTTTGTAATTGGTTTTTGCTCGATCTTTCGGAGCAAGAAGGGGAATGTCCTTAAGCTCAAGCGGTCTCTTTGCACCAATTGACAGAAGCGGATTCAGCCAAGAAAGCGTAGCCAAGCTAAAGAGCCCAGCATCACTATAGGGAGTGACCTTAAGACACCCTGCCTCCTCATCAAGCAATGGTTCCTGAATGTCAGAATTTCTACAAACTTGAATACCAGTAACACCCCTTATGGCAACAAAGCACAGGAAAGCAAGAGCCGGTGTTGTAGCAAGATTAGCCACAACATGAGAGGACCAGTGCTTTGAACCTTCTGTCAAGAACTGTTTTCCATCAACGTACAGAGTACACAAGCAAATCAAAAATGAGAGGAACCACCACCCTCTCAACAACAAAGGAAACTTTTCGGACGCCTTAAATTTGCAATGAAGAGCTAAAAAGCTCAACACAAACCAAGCTAAACCCTGAGCAGCAGGCAAGAAAAGCACAGACCAATTGACAGCTTCCCCATCGACAGCCTTCCCTATCACGCCAACCCCATCAAATCCCAACACGCAAACTTGCACAAACAACACGTAGAAGCAACAAAGCACCGAATATGTAAAGCCGCTACCGATTCTGACGTCATGAGTTTCTCTATCAAGACCAATGCTCCGCCTAATTGGACTCGAATTGCCAACCGGATCCTCCTTGATTAATCGAATTCGACCCGCACAAACAAATATCTGTTTCGCGGAGATAATGAGAAGGAATACCAGGAAGAGCGTCAAATTGATGCAAATTGAAGACAACTCCAATACGGGCAAACCTCGAGCAGCTCTCAAAAGGGTAAAATATGGTTGTACTGCTGGTGATGAAGCTGAGGTTTTATTGAGCAAAAGAGTGATATCCATCATCGGATAGACAGAGTTGGTGAAGGAAATTATGGAGAAGCGCTCTGAGTCTGTGTTTTTGAGTTACGCAAGAAGAGGAAGGGAGATCGAATCGAGTGAAGAAGAGCATCTCACCATCTGGGTCATACGAGAAATCAACAACAAGAAGAAACACAAACAACAGAGAGAGAAAGGCTATTTGGAGATAGAATCCGCAGATACATTGCACATAAAAACAGACAAAATTTATTTTATCAACACGGAAAACGAAGAGAAACAGAGAGAGAAGAAAGAAGAAAGAATCATTTTGCACTCTCCCTCTCTCTATGTTATCAAAAATAACACAAGGAGACAAAGAAAAACAGAGAGCAAAACAAAAAGTGAACGAGACCCATATGAGAAAATACCAAAAAAACTTACCTGGGTTCTTTTCCCCTCGAAAATCGTTCTCTCCAGCCGGTGACGATTGTCGAGGCAAGCCTGTGATTCACAGAGACGGGATAGATATATAGATAGATAGATTCTACAGCTCTCTCTCTCTCTCTCTCTCTCTCTCTCTCTCTCTCTCTCTCTCTCTGTCACAAGCTCTCTGTTTATCTCCTCCAATACAAAGACGAAATGGGCAGAGCACAGACCCGGATAGGCAGAAAGCAACAGGTACAGTAAAAGTTTGAATAGAATGATGTTTGAAGATGAGGGAATGGCGAAGGATAGCGAAAGAGATAGAGAGAGGAAGAGGCAGAAGAAGATGAAGAAGAAGAAGAAGGAGGAGGAGGAGAAGAAGAAGACAGTCTCTCTCTCTCTCTCTCTATCTCTCTCTTTTTTCTCTCTTTCTCTTTATTTCTGTTGTTTGTTGTGTATGGTAGCAGTCTGAGCGTTTCTGTTCTCTGTGCTGTGCATAATGTTGGCTAGCACTTGCCGTGTGTGAGTGCGAGACTCGAAAAGTTGGAGAGTTTGTTAACTTGGTTTTTGCTGGTTCATCGTGCCATGGAAGAGAGGTTAAATTTTTACAAATAAAAATTGAAACTTTTTTATATCCAAAAACTCTTAGCTTTATGATTCACCCCATTATAATATAATATAATATATATATATGTGTATGTATATAAGAGGCACTAGGGAGTGATGGAAGTGAGAATTATTATAGAATATTATCTGGTAATCATAAGAATAATATTATTCACATGAGCGTGGTGCTCTGTGAGATCTCAGAATGTTTAATGTCTTAATAATTATAAAAATATTAAATTACTTCTCTTTTCACTTTCAAGTTCAAATAATGCATTAATTCACTTATTTTTACACTTCTCTTTAATCCTATTAATTGGGAGAAAATTCAGATGTTTAAAAATAATTATTATTATTTTCCTCATTATGCACCTGTTATTTTGTGAATTAAATGGTATTATTGAATATCTTTTATAGTAAATCATTTTCTTTATGAATTTAAACCAAACAAATTATATAAATAATAATATTTTTCATTTTAGATTATATAAAAGAACAAAATTTAAAAATAAGTTTAATTAAATTTATTAAAATATATAAATAAATAAATTATTTAAAAAAAAAAAAAAAGTTACCACTACTCACCACAAAAGTTAAAGCTCAAATCCTAAGCTCCCAACTTATTTTTATAAATAATAATAATAATAAAAGTGGGTTTTATAGTTTGATGTCATTGAGGAGATGGTGTTGGATGAGTGGGAAGCCATAATGGTAAAAGCAAAATCAAATAGCTTATTTTGATTTGATATAATGATATAACATCACATTGACCCAAATTAGAAGGCACTATCTCGAGTACGGTTTTATTAAATTAGTGAAATTCCAAAACTACCCTTCCCCTTTTTTTATTACATACATTAGATGATTGTATGTATTATCATTTATGCCTATGAGACACATAATTATTGAAAAACGAAGAACATGGCTGGCTTATAGGCGCCGACCAAATTGGTCATCCGTCGCGGTCATCGTCTTCTTTTTTCTTCCACCATCTTTACCAAAAACACTCGTATGAATCTTTACCACCATAATTATTGTGAAAATCCAAACGACCCACTCATGAATCACTGTCTTTCCCTACATTTTGCTTTCTGGGTTTTGTTTGGGTTCTCGGGAAAGCATAAGAAAATAATTTTTTTGTTTGTGAGAACAATCGTCCGACCTACTGATGCACATGTGGGGTGGGGGGAGGAGGAGGGGAAAGGGGTGTGTCGTTTTGCGCCTGCGGAGTGTTCTTTTTGGGAGCGTTTGGCGTTTAGGGCGACACTTGTAGGAGAACCCATACTTACAGTTCATGCATGAAGGGTAGAACCGACACATGTCACTACTTTCATCACATAAATATATAAGAGATCGATTTTACTTCTTCTATAATCTTAAAATAATACTTTGGCATTAATTAGAAATATACACATCTCTCTCTCTATACATATATATAGAGATATATATGTGTGTGTATATTGTCATATCAATAGTGTGTTGTAGTACACCTTTACACGTCATAAATTCTTCCCATTGAAATTTTTATTATACTTAGAATTTGCCAATAATGACAAAAGTCATATATGCTAATATGTATTGATAATTATAGTGAATTAATAATATAAATTATGTTTATTAATTATTGGGTTTTTAAGGTAACTTAATAGTGTATAAAATATTAAAATATAATTCATTGACGGATCACAGTTTAATATAGAAATTTAAATTTCTAACTCTTATCAATAACATATATTATAATATCTTTATACTGTTAATCTAATAATTTCATGATGTCACCATCTCATATATATTATCATAATTTATATATTTGATATATTATTAATTTAATTTTACAATTAGTAATTTTTATTCTCGTCTCAGTAAAAAAAATATATATATATAATTAAAATTACACGTGATAATATTGGATAAGAATTAAGATATCATTTTCATTCAATTTTCTATCTTATTAATATTGTACATTTATTTATTATTCGAAATTAAAATTTGAACACGTGGGAAAATTGTGAACAATAAATGAGGATTTAACAATTTAAATTTTCCATTTCTTTAGTTAGTCTTGTGGTTTATTATTTTTTTAATATAATGTAATATATATACAAAAATTAAATTTAAAATTAGAGGTAGAGAATTATGGACTTACCACCGGTTGTAAAGTCAAAGTGTAATTAAATGGTATGGTACGAAAACGAAATAAAAGGAAACATCCTTTTCACGCTTTAAAAGAAATCTCAAACATTTCCAACTCGTATTCACATTTCCTTCTATCTATAAAATTAATTTATCCCATTAAAATATTTAAATTGATAACAACAATCTCTATATATATATATATATATATACACACATTATTTACGGCAAACCAATGGGCTTCACGAACATTATTAATTGTCATAAACATTTCCTTTCGTAAAGTTTGTTATCATATATTCATGTATAAATATATGTTAATTATGATCTAAGTTAAAATTTTTATATTAAATTAAAATTCACGTAACCGTAGAATTTAAATTTATAATCATTCAATACATAATTTAAAATATATTTCGTGTAAAATTAATATCTTTTACCAACTACATAATTTATATTTTTTAAAATTATATCGTATTTTATGATCGTTAGAAATTAAATATAAAATAATTTTTGATTAAAATTATTTTTAATAAATAATTATTTTTAAAAATTTACAATACAATTTATAATTTGTTCGTCCGAAAAACACTCGCTACAATTTAATAAAAAATTTAAATATAATCGTAATAAAATTATATAATGTATGACATTAACGTATTAAAAGAATGTATTAAACGAACAAACTTGTTACTCTCGTAATAATATAAAACACATATGTTATTATTAATACGGGGTGTTATAATTTATGTATATTTATTATTTAATTATTAAAAATACAAAATTATGTACACGGTGAGGGAGTATCCCAACAACAATTTATTACCGACTCCTCCACTCACAATTTAGGTCTCCACCACTTATTATATACATATTTGTGACTTTAGTCATTTATATATTTCGTGTTATGTTATTAGGAAAATACATGGACCGACTATAGTAGATTAACAGTAAATTTGAATCACATAATTCAACAAATCACACGTGACAAAAATTTCCTATCGTGTTATAATTAATACCAATTTCTAAACACAGACCCTATTGGGTCAGAGTCGTCGGGCAGGGTCAAAGACTTTCTCTCATTGACAAACACTATACTATCATTATTTTCAACGGACCATATCTGACTTAGAAATATATAAATTTATATATACAACTATTATTCAAATTCGATTAATTACTTTATATTATATTGTTGGTGGGTGAATATGGTTGACAGATTTTCAATACCAGCAAAATTTAGTTGTGATCAGTCAAGATCCATCTTTAACCCAGCAAAAGAAAATTCGTGGTCTTTACACTCTCCTACACAAATACACACACACACACACATATATATATATATATATCTATATACTAATTTATTCAAAAAATATAAAGTACGCGTATATTAATTAAATTAAAATAGTTAATATTGTCACAGTTGTAAATTAAATGACAAATTAATTACTCAATAACTAAATAGGATATTAATCCGTTTAAATTAATTTGACTGAGAATATTTATTCGTAAACTTATATAACAATATTTAATTTACTCGTCACGATCTTATAATACATTAATTAATTAATTAATTTTTACGTTAATGTGTCTTTTAATTTTAATATTATTTAATTATTTTTTTTTCTCCCACGCATTAACGTGGCACAGCGTGACCAGTGCACCTTTTTTTTTTGGTGTGTGCGCGTGTGTGTGTAAAGATGGTGGTGAGTTGTGCGTCATCATGTGTTTGTCGTCACCGTACGTTATAAAGGAGCTTATTTGTACCCCACAATGAATTTTTTTTATAATAATTTTAAAGTAATAATTATATTGAAAGTTTATAATTATGTTTTTTTTTAATATTAGATTGCGTACCAAATATTTTTTATTGCACGTCAATTATAATTATATTTTTTATTTAGCTATACTTAAATATAAAAATAATTGAAAAGTAATGAATTTTATATATACAAATTTTATATATCGTTTTATAAAAATGATAGGTGATGAATATTGTTTAAATAAATTTTAATTATTAGTTAGAAAAATAATAAATGTTGAATTCATTTTCATATTTTAAATTTATTTAAATGTTTGACATTTGATTAAAATTTTATATTAATATTTATTTTATTTTTAATATATTTCGAATTATATAATAACATAAAGTAAAGTATAATATAAATTAAATTAAAATTTTTATTTTTTATAAAATAATATTTTTTTAATAGCATATAATGCGAAATATCATATAATATAATACGCTTTAGTTAAATAACATTATTATAAATTTCAAAGAAAAAGACAAAACAATAACAAAATTTCATGGTTATTAAAAAGTGTAATTAAAAGCAAAATATCACGGTTTAGATGTATATGAATTTAATCTACTCCTGTTATGAGTTGGTACAAATCATAAGGTACGTCAACTTAAAGTACAAATTTATTTTTCTACTTGAAATAAAATGTGGACCGTTAGATCTAAAAAAGTAGCCCATCATCTACCCTTAAATTTTTTCACATAAAAATTCATACCGTAACATGATAAAAATACAAATTTTAAAATATTTTGCTAGCAATTTCCCATTATCTATTTAAATGTGTTTTTTTTTAATATCTATTTAAATTTTAATTTTAATTAATTATAATAATGTTAATTAAAGAGGATAATATTCGGGATGCTTCTTAAAAAAATTAATTTAAAAAATATTCTAAATCACAAATTCTCCGACACGTGGCACTTTCTCGTTGGGAGTCTGACTCGATCAACATTGGCTGCCATGCCATGCCAGATTACTGGACTTTCTAACTTGTGGTTGAATTTGAATTATTGAACTTTACAGTATACATATATAGAGCATATTTCAATTTTTTTTTTCTAAAAATATAAAATAATGTAGTATATATAAAACAATATAACTTTTAACTTTAAATATAAATAATTTTAACTAAAGATTAAAATACTATTTTTTTTTATCAAATATTAATTGAATTAATTAGTTAATGGCATTTTTATAATCACTCATTACCTCCATAAAATTCACAGTTAATTAATTTAATGAAGAGCCCTAATTTTCTTTCTTCCCAAACAATCTAAGATGAATCAGATACTTGTTAAGGGAAAACAGACATGGAAAGAGACATCATTCTCTGGTTTTCTTATAAAGTGAATTTAGGGAGTAGAGAAAATGCCATGCCAGAGTCATCGTTTTTATCTTCCTCGCGTTGTCGTAATTTTAATGTTTCCGAATCAATTGTTACCAATCTAACAATCTTTCGGACAAAAATTGTCGGTTTCTGAAAATTAAACTCGAATTATTATTTATAGTATTTAAATTTTATCGTTATATAAAACTTAACAATCCAATATCTCACTGATGTATAAGATTAAAATATTACAAAGATTTTTCTGTTTCTCGGAGTCTTAATCAGTACCTGTCTTATGGAAATGGAGATTTTATTTTGTCTGTTTTTGCCATACTGAATTTCACAAAAAATGAAAGCATCATAATTAAAATAAGTAAAGCCAGGTGATTTTTCCTTTCTTTTTCTTCTTCTTTTTCCTCTGGATATATATATGTACGTATATATATTGGGCTTAGATGGACTAAATATATAGATATGTAGAAAAAGTCCATTAAAACAACCTGTACTTCCATCAACCTCACAAATTGAAGATAACCCAATACAACTTTAATCTTTCAAAAAAAAAAAAAGAAAAAAGAAAGAGGTAGTACAGTTAAAACATGGATTGCAAGTAGATGAATGCTGATTCTGAATTCATGACATGAAATAGATAGAGCACCTACTATGGATGGAATAAAGGAATTTTTTTTTATTGCCTCAGATTGAATATTCTTCAAGAACTGGAATCTAGTTCTTCCTATGAAACACGATGAAGTTCCCTTCGGAAATTCGGGGAACATGAACAGTTCTGAAAGAACTTTTTTGTAACACTCAATAAGAACAAGCATCTAAAAAAAGTCCCTTTTACTCTAATGGCCAGATCTTGATTATAACATGTGTTTTTTGGGGTAGAAGACAACTTGTTTACATGCTTCAGGGGTTTATCAACCCTGCAAAAGCAAAAGCAAAAAGGTATAATACTTATCCAATGCCAGTGAATTTCTTTTCCTTTTCAAAAAGGTGTATTGCTTGAATATAACCAAATTCCTCCACAAAGACCTGAAGAGAGGATTTGCTTTGTAGAAGGAACTCCAGCATATGAATATGCCAAAAGAAACTCAAAATTCGGATGATGGATCATTCTCCACATTAAAAAGTTACCAATTCAATGGATGTTGACGAGGCCTTTTCAATGTTGAAAACATACCGATTCTGCAGGATAAAGGCACAAAGCAAATATGCCCACTGGTTTGTACACATGGAAAAACATATTGATAAGCCAATGCTGGAGCCAGCCATAATAATGACTTATCCTCGTTCTGAGCCCAATACGATATGGCTTTGAACAGATGTTTAGCAAGAGAAGCAGCAGCTAAGATTCTATCATTAATGTTCTGAAGTTTTAAAAAGTTCATACAATGCCTTCTGGTAATTGACAATTCAGGAGTTCATGTAATGAATTGATACAGGGAAAAGAATAAATTTCATTACCCAAGTAATACAACCAAATGAATGAAAAACACTACAGATATTATCTTACGGATTCTCTAGCAACGTTGATGCTTCATCCTGCAAAATTTTCCATGCCTCATTCACATGTCTCTCTTCAGTCAGTGGTGCCCCTACAGCAAACCGCAGGATGTATTTACCTGATAGAACCTGTTTGAAAGTATAACACTTCAACTCATGTTTTGGCAGAAAGCAAATAAGTAAAGAAGCAGTTTTCACTTTTATAAGTTTTTAACAAAAAGAAACAGAAACAAGGGGCAGTATCAGGATAACAGGGTTGGGACAAATATGTGAGCGTGATAAACAGCTTGCTTACAGTGTGAGATATGAAAAGTTTCCCGGTTGAGTTTACAGTCTCTAGTAAATCCTGGTTCAATTTATTGCCATGGTTTTCATCATTGCCAGGAGGCAGAAGGCGAAAGCAAACTAAAGAAAATATTCGAGGGGTAACAACCTGTCCACATAAGATTACAATAGGCAAAACATAAGATAACCTTGAGACATGTCAAACTTTCATAATTTTGATATATAACTTCTTTACTTCTTGCAAACAAAATGAGATGCAGAGAAAGTCAAAATTTTCGCAATGAAATCCCCAGCGCCCACCTTTCCCTGTGTACTTTCTCCATCTAGCATTTTTTTAGAGACGCTATATCCAACTAGGATCTTCCTTAAGAAGTACCACCTTGTGAACACAAGTTTGGCCTTTATGCCAAGAGCTCGACTGAGGAATTTCTTTTATCATTGGAGCAGTGAAAAGGATGGTTTTACAGTAAAAAGTGTATCCTTTTATTTGCTGATGGCACCAATCTTGCAATTAATTAGACAGGTTCAACTATCGTACTTAGACACATGAAGTTTACACTCCCCTTGTTTTTGTTGCACCATTATTAGGACCTTTTCGTTATCCTAACTATTAAATCAAAGTAGTTTTATTCAAGGAACTCAAAGTAGTTGAGCCTCAGACAACTGAGCAGTTATACACCCACTTCAATATTACATAAGAAGAACACAAAGGAGGTGAAATGAACAAGCACTACATAAAAGCTAAAAAGGAGATCCTAATGTAACATGCTACAACTTAGAAAGATGTATTATATGAAATGTGATAGAAGGATCACAAAATGTATAATTACCTCAAATCTGGGGTCTTGAGTGACAAGCTCTTCAAAATGTTTAGCCAACTTGATATGATTCCTTATGTAGCTCTTTAGATTTTCCACTCCATATAGTCGCAACACCATCCACAGTTTCAAGGATCTAATTAGCCAGCATTTTGATAAGGCAATACGTCATTTTTCCATTTGATTGATAGGTATAAAGTCCTCCAACTTCTCTAAATTCTAATAATAATCTTAAAAAAATACAGAACAAAAGTGAGCTATTTCTTGTCAATTCAAAATTCTCTGAGATATTCATTCAATTAATCACTTAACAAGATATTCAAATTTGAGGTATTGAAATTAAGCAATAGGAATTCCACTTATTATTTTACCCATTTGCTGACCATAATAACCTTTCGTGCAAAACCTGTTCATCTATTTTTGGCTTCTGCATTTGTCCAGGTCTGTGTTCATGTGCTTAAGCATATTATCTTGCCCGTATGAAGGGGAAATAATAATAGAAATAATGAACTTATTAACTGTGAACTTAAGTTTTGAGACATTTGGTTTCCCGGCAGATTATTTAACAAACAATATCAGAGGATTGAGAAAAGGTGATAGTTTAAAGGTGTTGTGTGTTATAAGCAAACCTCTGCATACAAATGTGTGTGTGATAAGGGGTTCTAGTTCAGTAGCTGACTAGTTCAGTACTATCCCGTTCATGAAAAATGTTTTGGCGTGACAGATTAAGTACTGTAAGATTCGTAAGAGGCATACCTAAATCGCCGTCCAAGAGGAATTTGCCAATCTTTATAGTCCACAACCATGTCTGCTTGAGAGGCCTAAAATGCAAATTGCAAGCAAAGTACAATGGGCGCACAAAAAGAAACATAAGGAACTTAATAATGCTGTTAACTTGATCAACAAAAGATTCAGGTTAAAGTCTAAATGCTTTATATGTCCTCCAAAGATTAAATCCATTGAATTGGTTGAACCTAAGCTATCCGAAAAAACACAAAAATTAAACAGTTACTGGTAACTTCAAAAGCAAAAGGCAATATAGCAGGAGGAAAGAGAAGAGCTGAAGGTAAAGCAGGGTCAACAGAACTAAAAAACAAAAAAAACTAACTGAAGAATAGAAAGGGAAGCCCTTCAGTATGTGGTAGTTCTTGGCAAATGCATATGATTTAATTTGAAGAGAAGGTCCAACTCCTCATAAACTTTCTCTCCAACTTGCCTAGGATGACAAGATATTTGGGAATTTATATTTCTGTTAAAACACAAACAGAATCAGGGTTACAGTTTTCAACTACAAAATAAAGATCACATGGCTAATCTTACTTTCTTTAGCAAACAAGTCCCCAATGTAGGATCATCTACAAACTTGCTCCACTTGGTACAGTTATTTGTTCGTGTTATAAATTGTTAGTTGCTCATTGGGTAATTCAGGTTGAAGTAAGGAGGGTTCCTTGGTCAAACTGTTAATGCATAGATGATAGATTGAGAATTTTTCTATCATAAACTTTTGGCAAAATCGATCAATTCTATTGTTTATATAATATCAGAGCCAGAGTATTCAAATATTGGTGGCCACCCTTTTTCTGTTAACTAAATTTCAGGTAGGACAGGTATATGCTTGATCCATGCATTCAACCTTGTGAGTTTTACGTGTAAAAATTACTGATTGGATTATTTTTTATCGGTTAAAACTTTTGGAAAAATTGGTCTGATTCTATTTCTTAATAACAACAACTTTATTTTTAAAACATTTTCATAAAAAAGATATTTCTTAAAGGACTTATTAAATAATGGGCAAGCTGACTTACTTTGTTTTTCAGAAACTCTGGATTTGTGGACAGGGACTGAATCAAAGAATATTTATCCTGTTGCCAATGCAATATAAGCATTCAATTTGTATATACAAAATATGAATTTAGGAAAAAAAAACTGAGACATAGTCATAGAAGCCCAATGGATAACAAAATGCCAATGCCAAGCAATTATCCACGAAGCTTATAAACAAAAGTCACATGCCAACCACTAAATCTTAAGGTACCTTTACCCAGAGCACTGAACAATCAAAGTTTGTCAAAAACCATTTATGGGCATTCATGTTAAACGAGTCTGCTTCTTCAACACCATCAATATAGGGACGATATTCTGGACATATACAAGCACTTCCAGCATAGGCCGCATCCACATGAAACCATATTTCATTACTCTGTCAAGAAGTAATATTAAAAGGATTTTTCAATTGTTTATGTAATTCATGTGAATGGAACATGTACAGTTATGATAGGTGCCATATTATTTTAGTAAGATTTTTGTCAATAGTTTAAACCGATAAAAGAGACCTCCACCTTGTCGTTTATATTCTGATATGCACTTTCAAATGCAAGACATAAGACTAAAAAGATGAATAGAACACAAACTGTTAGACATTATGCTAAAATTCAATATTAATAAAAATAGAACAAAATAAGATTTGAACTCTTAACCTTTCATCCTGGCGTTGTATGAAAATGTTTAGTTAGATAACTAAATACCTAACAATTTAACTTGATAGGAAAAAGCTAAATTTTATAGTTATCTATAGCAAATCCATTTGAGAGTTTTTATCTTTTGTTTGAAATATTCAACAGTAGTGTTGGTTCATAGGATTTTCGTTATCATTTATTAACCAGATTGTATACTCCCTTATGTTTTAATGGAATAAATTTGCAGAAAAATATTCCTTATTGGAAACTTGATGGCCATGCCTTCAAGAAAGGATGTTTCCACAGAAGGCATCACTTTATGCTTCTTTGCAAAGTTTAAACAGACAGAAAAACCAGGAAAACAGCACAATTACGTGCCACAGGAGATCTTTATTCATAATATTCCATAGAGTCCATTTATTTCTTCCTCAGCTCTTCCTTTTAAGAGATAATCATACATCGATGGAGAGAGTTATTCAGTCTGGACTTGGCCATTCTGGCCTTTGGGAATTTAGCTTTCTAGTTGCAAGTTTTATAGAAGTTATACAAGCTATCGTCCATTTTCATATTTGATAGGAGTTTCTGCATAATAAAGTTGTCACAAAGATAGGAAACACTCTCAAGGAATACATTTTCGCAACTTATCTGAGGAAAGAAAAGAGTTAAAGTTATCACCGTGGCAATCTTTCCCAGAGCCATCAAAGGATCCACGGCTGTTGAGGAAGTAGTACCAACCTGAAACGAAAATGGAAGGCTTCTTCAGTTCATTGCACATATATATCCGAGGATGTACGGAAGTTCAGATTTATTTGCCCTCACTAACAAGAACTATGACCTTTACAAAATGATAAATGATAAGTTCAACCAAATTTCATTTATGCAAGAACATCTTCACACCTGTCTAGAACAATGCTAGCATTTTTAAATCTCAATCTTATGACATTTCTCTTAATGATTAATATCCATATGCATGTATAGCAATTCCAACTTCCACCAGCCTCTCACCTGCTGAGAGTTGATTGGATCAAAGAAAGTAATGAATATTAGTGCAGTTCAAAGAATTTGGCTGATATCTTATGAAGGTTCTATATGTTGCCAAAAGCAGCACAGAATTGGAAGACACTCAATGCAGAACAATCTTTCCAGAGCACCGCCCGGAATTCCATTCAGAAGACAATATTAAGTCACAAATTGAAGCAATTGAGAAAGAATTGAAATATATAGTATCCCAACTAATATAGAATCAATGTGGCAGTAAACGAAGAACTGATGAGCAGACAACAACATAAGGTTCTTGTTTCTTACAGTCGCACAAAAGAAAAATGGGATTAATCCAGCAGCAACGTCACAAGAAATTGCTTCTTTTAATAAATCCGGGGAAAGGGCATAATTTGTAGAAGAGTCTGTTTTCAGCACCCTGCAATTCTCTGGATGGATTCCTCCTATCTGCCATCAAACCGGAAATACCAAAAAATGCAATAAGTCAGATGTAGCTCATAGCACGCTTACACACACATATGCATATATATGTACTTATTTATATTTATATTTTTTTTTGAGATAAAAATGTATAGTATATATTGACAAGGTACCAAAAAAGGGGTACCGCCCATTTACAAAAGATTTACAATCATGTTAACATGTCAATGACGTTCTCAAAATCTATATCACTGATAATGTCATGGCCAATCACAATAGACCCAAAATAATAAAGCCACCTTTCTTTTATGCTAGATAGACTACTCTTAACACTATCAAAAACTCTACTATTTCTTTCCTTCCAAATGATCCAGAAAACAGACAAAAGTATCAAGTTAGCAAATTTATTTTTTACATATAAACTATCTCATGCCCAGATTTCACCCTCCATGGACCCAACCATAACCCAATCCATACCCAAAAGGCTATAAACCAAGCTCCAAAGACTATGAGCAATCGGATACCACAAAAGGAGATGGTTACATGCTTCCTCTGGATTTAAACAGCAATAACAACCATTAATGAGTACCCTTCCTCTACTTCTCAGCTTGTCGATAGTTAAAATCCTCTCCCAACAAACCTTCCAAACAAAAAAGGCAATGCGGGGCGGAGCCTTGGTTTTCCAAATTTGCTTGGCGAGGAAGTTACATCTCAAAACATTCTCTTTTCTATTCAAATGATGATAATATGATTTGACAGAAAAAATACCGTTCTTTTCAAACTTCCACACAGCCCGGTCATCAGAATGGGAAACAGACATCTCAGCCAACAACAGAAACAAAACCTCAAACTTTTGAACCTCCCAGTCATTCAAATTTCTGCATACATTAATCTCCCAAACAATACTGCCATTAACAACTCGGTAAGCTTCTTCAACTACCTTCTGTTTAGACTGGGCAATGCCAAAAATTCTGGGGAACCATCTGCAGAGGCAGTCATCCCCTATCCAATCGTCTTCCCAGAAAATTATCCTATTTCCTCTTCCCAGTTTCCAAGTTATACACTGCTGGAAATTGCCCCATTGCATCAGAATTCTTCTTCACAAACTTCTTCAGTGTGTAGCAGGAATTCTGTAGTCTTCTTTCCTATCCATGTGCATGCCCCATCTAGCATGAACAATCTTTCTCCATAAGCTATTAACTTCTGTCAAGTACCTCCACAACCATTTTCCTTGTAAAGTAATATTCATGTTGACCATGGACCTAATTCCAAGACCCCCCCAACATTGATAGGTTCTTTAACATCTTCCCGTTTCACAAGATGGTATTTTCTCTCCTCATCACTATCACACCAAAGAAATTTACATTGTATTGCTTCCAATTTTTTTGCGACCTTAACAGGGATACTGATCATCGATAGGAAGTAAAGTGTATCTCCCCCATTTGAGAGGAAATTCCTCTTCCACCCTGCAAATCTTCTTTCAAACAATTCAATCACTGGATCCCAAGATAGCTGATCTTTGTACTTGAACGGAAATACGACCTCTTTGGACCCCATAATCGCAGCAAAAGAACCAACATCTCCACTACCACCAATTCTTGCCAATTCAAACTTATGTAAGTTAATCTTCAGATCGGACACAGCCTAAAAACACAAAAGTACACATCTCAAGTGCAAAATGCTTCTCAACTTCAGTTGACAGAAAATAAGAGTGTTGTCAGCAAAAAATAGGTGAGAAACTTCAGTGACAGCCCCTCTTTTCCCCACTGACACCCCTAATTAATTGTTGCTCATTTGGCCTGTTAAGTAACCCGTTGAAAGCGTCCATCACAATAATAAACAAGAGAGGGGATAGAGGATCACCTTATTTCAAACTTCTAGTAGCCTTGAAAAAACATGAAGGGCCCCCATTAACCAAAACAGCAAAAGACGTGGTGGTGATACACACTTTCATCCAATCTCTCCATTTTTGGCCAAAACCCATCCTCCAAAGCATGTAATCCACAAAATATCAATTCACATGATCATATGTTTTTTCCATATCAAGTTTACACACCAACCCGTCCTTATTATTACTCATTAACTCATCAACCATTTCATTAGCAGCCAAAACAGCATCCAGGATTTTTATTTATGCATTTCCTTGGGGTAACCCTAGAGTTGAGTCTTTCTAGGATATTATAGTGAGTAACATTTCTAAGTGGCTTGAGTTTGAGAAGGGCAGGTTGTTTCTTTGGAGTTAAAGGTTACTCTTAGTTATGCTTGTTTGTATAGTATTCAATTGTATTAACCTGGTTGTCATCCATGACTGACTGCATCGTAGCAGACATCATAATTTGAATGAAACAATAATATGTCCATAAGCATTAATAAGTAGAAGAAATTTCTGGCAAGCATCTCAGTATCTAATAAGAAGGCAAAAACAAGAATGAGAAGGCAAAAACGAGACTTCTGCACATTTATATGGATACCTGGCAGGCCTTTTGAAAAGCAGAATGTGTTTGATCAGATGTATAGACCACAAGCTTTTCAAGGGCATTTTTTCCAACTCTCTTTAGAACCTTATCACGAGCAGCTAATAAGACAACTAAGATGGCTTCACTTGCTGTGCCTTGTATCACTCCACCACCATTTCCTGCAATATGATTTTTTAAGCCTTGAGAATTTTCTCTCACGGCTCATCAGAAAGTAGATAAGAGAGAAAAAAGTATTGCTTCTACTATGAGCTACATTTGCCTTTTTTTAGCTTCACGTGAACATTCATCAGATTCCTTTTAACTTCTACAAACCTCCAAGTAGTGTATTCCTCACACTAAGAATTACTTCTTATTTAGAAACATTGTATGCTATTTCAAAAGCTTTACAGTGCTTTTCCCCTGTTCTTTTTTGTTTTTAGGCCTGCAGTTTCCTTTTAGTTACTAAGAACATTACAGAACAATTTAGATGTTAAATCACACTAGCCTTTACTAGGGTTGATTTTCTCAAAATCATTGGCATCTTTATATGCATCAACTACTTGCAGCATCCACAATCAGACTGGCCAAGATACCTTTCTTCTTTCTTACTTAAGTGTTCAGCTGCAGGCAAATGCGGTTTCATTAAATGTAAATAAGGAAAAGCTTACCTGTTGAATGGAAATCTTCAGGTAGCTTAAGTAATTTAGCAAGCCAATCAAGAACTATCATTTCCAGCTCTGTTGCAGCAGGAGAAGTAATCCAACTGAAACCCACTATGTTGAGACCAGCACTTAGCATTTCTCCCAAAAATCCAGCAACACTACTATTAGAAGGATAATATGCAAAATAATTTGGACTTTGCCAGTGGGTTACCCCGGGTAAAATCTTTGTCCGGACATCTGCAACCACACAATAATTTGCCCGTAACCAACCAAACTATCTGGATAAGTATCAGATATTGCAACGGAATCCCATTAACATTAACCAAGAAAATCGTAATGAAACATGTTGTATATGATTAATCTAGAAAAATTTCTCCTTTTCTTTAACTTAATTTCTCTATCCATTTTACACAGCTAATAAAAACTGGAAGCTATTTTACCATCAAGAAGTTGCTGGAATGACTCTGGACTATTTGGCGCAGAATCTGGTATAAGGTCACGAAGATACCCTGGCTGCATTGAAGAACAAAAACAAATACAGAAATACTGAGAATCATATCCATATCCATATACGTTTTAAAAAAAGAAACCCATCAGCTAAAAAGGTAAGCCTGGAAAATAAAAACAAAAAAAATATATATATATATCAAGAGACAGTCAGCACCTCAACTTGGCTAAGAACAGGGAAATTCTCGATAGTCTTGTAGTAATCAGCAATGAAATCAACCATCTTATGACCGTTCTCTCTCAGCTGCTCTGCATCCATAGGCTTCAACCCACTCTCCCTGCGTTGTTATTTCAATTAAAACATTTGAACAATCAATAATTGAGAAAATGATAACCAAGAAATCAACATTCCGCCAAGAAAAACACGAATACAACTTGCTACTTACATTGGTTAAGATGTACTGGTTGGCGTTTGTAGCAGCGGGAGAAGGTTTTATAGAGAGTGGGGTTAAGGGATATAGCGAAACGTAATTGAATAGAAATACTCCAGTCTCCCTTTCTACAGTCTAACTCTCTCCAGCAGAAATGAACTGGAGAGGATGACTGACAAGCAAAAAGTCTAAATCTCCCACGTTGTTGAATGTTCATGAAAATAGAAAAGATTTAATCGAGTTCCTCGACGCTCCGTTTCGTCAACCATCTCAAGATTCGATGATTCCCGGCTAATGGCATTATGGTAATTACCTGATTTGATTTTTTTTCCTTTTAAAAAAGAGATATATATTTTTCTTGTGAGTATTAATTAAGAATTTATGTTATAAAAAAAGAGATTATATAGATAATTTTAATTAATTGATTAATTAATCAATCATAAAAAATATATAAGAATTAATAATAAAGAAACATAAATACAATCTTATCGTATAATTTATTATTTGATAATTTTCTTATATAAAATATTAGTTTCAACAAATTAAAGTTAATTTTTTTTCCCTAGAGAATAAATATAGCATTTCTATATGGATCTTTTCATAATTATAATTATAATTATAATTTATTTATTTTCCACTATTTAATTAATTTAATAATGAGTTTAAAACACACCATATATACGACGATTTATTTCCAAGTGTTTTTTGAATAAATAATTATATATTATAACGTAGCTTCTTGTATCGCCAACGAAAGGGTCTAATTGGGCCGTAATGGGTGTTATTTGTACGGGATTAACCGGGTCTACCCGACCCGCTACCCGAATCCACTCGAAGCCTTCTCTGTTCGCAGCAGGAGAACAACTTAGCAAAGCATCAATGGCGGCTAACCAGGAGTATAAAATATTTCCAAATTAAACAAAGACACGTATTTTCTATTGAAACAAACAAGGAAAGAAGAGGAAATCTAATGGAAGAAGAAGCAGAGATATACGATGGAATGAGGGCTCATTTCCCTCTCACATTCGGGAAGCAGTCAAAATCCCAAACCCCACTCGAAGTCATTCACAACGCCACTCGACGTGGCCCCTCGAAAGAGAAAGACCTCAACACCATTAAAGCTAAACCCGATTTACCTTCTCTATCCTCTTCCTCCAAGTCCTGGCTCCAGTCTCTTCGTAAACCTAACCCTAATTCTACCCCGTCTGGAGATGAACCGTCGATTGAGCCATCCCGTCCACTGCAGAAATCGGAGGACGAGGATGATGGGGTTATGGTGGGACCACCGCCTCCGCCGGCGGGGGGAGGTTCCGAAGATGGTGACGAGGACGAAGACGACGACGGTGTAATGATTGGGCCCCCGCCACCTCCAGTGTGGTCTACGATGGATGATTCTGATGAGGAGGAGAATATGTACCGAATCCCTATGAGTAATGAGATTATTCTCAAAGGCCACACTAAGGTACTGTTTCCCCCTGTATATATGTCTTTGTGGGTGCGTTTCGTTACTTATAAATGTGCTGAGAGTACCCTTGCGGTTCTATGGAGATAAAATTGTGTTTGTGTTTGTCTGTTAAAATCGTGAAAATCTATTTGATTTTGTTATATGTCTGTCAAAAAGTCAGTGGCTTTAGCTATATGGATTCAGAATGAGAATGAACTGAATCTTGATTCTGCATGGCAGATTGTTTCAGCCCTTGCCGTTGATCACTCTGGCTCCAGAGTTCTTTCTGGTAGTTATGACTACACTGTACGTATGTATGACTTTCAAGGGATGAATTCTCGTTTGCAATCGTTTAGGCAGCTTGAACCTTTTGAGGGCCACCAAGTTCGCAACTTGAGCTGGAGTCCCACATCTGACCGATTTTTGTGTGTTACTGGCTCTGCTCAAGCTAAGGTATTTTTGCATACTGTGGTTCATATTATTATTTGCTCTGAATCATGACAGGTCTTGGCATCACATACTGAGAATTATGATTCTCTTAATTTCAGATTTATGACCGTGACGGTCTTACTCTAGGTGAGTTTGTAAAGGGGGACATGTATATTCGTGATCTAAAGAACACTAAGGGCCACATATCTGGGTTGACTTGCGGAGAGTGGCACCCTAAGGCTAAGGAGACTATATTGACATCCTCAGAAGATGGATCATTGCGCATATGGGATGTAAATGACTTTAAAAGCCAAAAGCAGGTGTGTTACCTTTATATTCATTATGTGATGATAAAACATACCAGGTGGACTTATGCATTTCTGTAACTATCCTGTATTAGGAAATTTGTTTGATTTATGTTCAGATATGAGGTCTTTTAATTTATGAACTTGAAATATGCTGGATTAATGGAACTGTCTTGCAAACTAGTTTTTTAGTTGCAAAAACTGGTCAGCCTGCTATTTTTCTGCATTTGCTTTTCTACAGATGGATTTGTAAGCAAAAGCATCAAAAATGCCTGTAAAGAATGAAGGCATTGAAATCATACTTGATGAATTAAAACTTTACACTAAATTGAGGTGGATTCTTCTCGTCTCTCTTATGATCTTATATGTTTTTCTTTGGGGAAATCGTTTTGTTAGGAAAGCTTATTTATATTTACACCATTTTACATTATATTTTTGAGAACATATTTTAGTAGTTGATGGACTGGACAATGTAGGAAACATCTTCTTGAACATTTTGTGTATCATGTGGCAATAAGGCTTTTACAGTGGCATCCTAGTATGCTGTTTTGATATCAGTTTTTATGTAGTATAATGGAGACTTTCAGCAATAAGAGTGCAAAATGGATATCACTATGATGTTTTGGGAGGTCTTATTACCATGACAGAGATGACTGTAACCTAATGCTTTTAATGTTGTTTAATAGGTAATAAAACCAAAACTTGCAAGGCCTGGAAGGGTTCCAGTTACCACCTGTGCTTGGGACCGTGAAGGAAAATGCATTGCAGGTGGAATAGGAGATGGTTCTATTCAGGTAATGACTGCTAATTTTCAATACTTAGTTCTTTTGATGGACTGCAAGTGCATGTTGAAAATTAATATGGTTTTCATAATATATCTTGGCTTGGTTTCTTTTCATGCTTATGCCATCTGAATTTTTCTGTGCAATTCTTTTTATTGCATCAGCTTTCTACTTTCCTTCCTGCATCCGGTGCTAAATTTATTCTTGCAGATATGGAACCTTAAACCAGGATGGGGAAGCAGACCAGATATGCATGTTGAGAAAAGCCATGCTGATGATATTACTGCTCTTAAGTTCTCCAGTGATGGCAGAATTCTTCTTTCAAGAAGCTTTGACGATTCACTAAAGGTAGTAATTACATGTGTTCTAAGCATCTTACTGTTGGCGGTGCCTTCCCTGGCCTAGCAGCCAGGATCCATCTATCATCTAACAAATTTGTAAAATGTCAAAAAAGAGTTAAAATCATAAAGTCTCCTTGTATGTTCATCTTTGGATCAAATTACTTTATGTCGAGGTAAGTACTTAGCTTGTGAGTTGACAATAAGAATCTAATTGAACTATTAATTAACTGAATTGTCATCCTTCAGCAGATTGCCCACCTAAAGAATTTAAGATTGTGGTTGATGGTATTCAAAATCATGGAACAATACTAACTGGAGCGTGCATCTGAATACTCTCATGTGCTTTGGGTAGAAGAGCTTGCGAGTTGTGATGGAATGAGATTATTTAATAATTTTAGTATTATATAGTAAACAACATTACTTTCTTCCATTTTTTTGAGGGTGCATAATGTCAAAAGGTGATTGATTTTGTTATTTGATGGTGCTATTTAATGTATTTTTAGGTACTCATAGGGCTAATTGATTTAATTAAAAACATAAGAGCGATTTGGTATAATAGGGTAAATACAAAATTTTTATGATATTAACGTAAAAAAAAGCATGTTACTGCATCTCCTGCTCTTATTAGTTCTCTCAATTTTCTTGTCGTGTAATTTATTGCATGCCTCTCAGATATGGGATTTGCGCCAAATGAAAGAAGCTCTTAAGGTGTTTGATGATCTCCCAAATCACTACGCCCAAACCAATATTGTGTTTAGTCCCGATGAGCAAATTTTCTTGACTGGAACATCTGTTGAAAGGGAGAGCACAACTGGAGGATTGCTATGCTTTTATGATCGGACTAAACTTGAACTTGTTTCAAGAATTGGGATTTCCCCGACTTGTAGTGTTGTGCAGTGTGGTTGGCACCCAAGGCTGAATCAGGTAAACACCATTGATGTGCTCGTTTGGACTGATTATCTTGATGCAATCATTGTAAATGGGTTGTGCCCCCTTGGCACTCTTACATCAATACAACTCCACACATTTATTTAAAAAAAAATCTTGATGCAATCATGGTTTCTCCTGTATTCCTCTTGAATAATGGCTGTATACAAGTATTTGTTCTTCCATTTATTAGTTGAGTTTGGGCAAATTATTTCAGCGCTCTATATGAATAAATGCCCTTTGTCTCCTGGGCTATACTGTTCCTCTCCTTTCCTATTGCTTTTATCTTGTATTTTGTTTTAGAACGTCAAAGTACTCATGAAGAAAGCCTAGGGACTGAATAAATACTTATAAGGTGCCTTTATTTCATTTTCTTGAAGATTTTTGCAACATCTGGGGATAAAAGCAGTGGAGGAACTCATATATTATATGACCCAACTCTCAGTGAGAGAGGAGCTCTAGTTTGTGTTGCACGTGCACCAAGGAAGAAATCAATTGATGATTACGAGGCTCCACTTGTGATCCACAATCCTCATGCATTACCTCTATTTAGAGATCACCCAAGCCGAAAGCGTCAAAGAGAGAAAATATTGAAGGATCCAATCAAGTCTCACAAGCCTGATCTCCCCATAACAGGACCAGGCCATGGTGGAAGACTTGGTACAAGCAATGGAAGCTTGTTGACCCAATACCTTCTCAAGGTTTCGCTCTCTGCGACTATTTCACTTTTTCATGATATTTCCTGGCTGTAGAAATGTAATAATTCTTAAGAGACTTTTCTGTTGACTTGTGTTGCAGCAAGGTGGAATGATAAAGGAAACATGGATGGAAGAAGATCCAAGAGAAGCTATACTTAAATATGCTGATGTTGCCTCAAAGGACCCAAAGTACATTGCTCCAGCATATGCCCAAACACAACCTGAACCAGTTTTTCAACATTCTGATTCTGAAGATGAAGAAAAATGATTGGGACTTGTTTCTCGGCTACTAAGCAGTGGACATATGGTAACTTTCCTTTCACTAATATCCTAATATCCTCATATGATTTAATGGTCATTTGTTGTGGTGTTCCTACTTAGGATCCTGTTATGCAATCAATTGGCATAAGCTCGTTAAAGTGATTCCCAGGATCTCCAAGAGTTTGAAAAACTTGAGAACTCTGAAGTTATTTTTGTTCTTTTCTTTTTGGATCTGTATCTTGATCTTATACAAGAGAATACAACTGCTCCTAGAAGTAGTTGAACTTTCCTTGTTAGAGTAATTGAACCACATCTACATGCAGGAGTTAGAGTTCAGTAAAACTGAAATTGAATTATTGGAAAACTAAATGTGACAAATTTCCAAGTCCTTGAACCAATGTCAAAACATGAATTTGGAGAAACAAGAACAGAAAAACCAAAGGGAAGTAATTTGCTTCTGTTGTGGAATTTATCAGAGTTAACAAATATTTACTTTTGTTTGGCTCATCTCACAATTTGAACAAAAAATAGAGATACATGTTTGGTTAACTTCTTGTAATTATTTTAATATTTTTAGAAGAAATGCAACAAACTGTACTATGTAAAAATATAGATGTTAGTAGTTATGTTTGTATATATATTATTATTACTATATGACTTTATCAACTTGTTTTTATATTATTGAAATTAGAAAATTAAATTTAAAAATTAAACTTATTAATGTATTATTTTTTACTTTTAAAGTTTTATTCTTAAATAAATTGGTATTCCAATATTTTGGCGTGGAACTTTCTCTTTTGCATGTTTGGTAGATTTGATTTTGGAAGGAAAATGGGTTAGGTGGATAAAGGCGTGCATTACCTCCACATCTTTTACAGTCATGGTCAATGGGGGTTTATCTTCTTTCTTTAAAACATCTAGAGGCCTGAGACAGGGGATCCTCTTTTCCCTTTGCTTTTCATCTTGGTGATGGAGGTCCTCAATAAAAGAGGAATGAAAATTGTTCTGTAAATGTGGGAATCAATTTAACCACTGATATAGTTTCAATGAGCTTCATATATTCTGCGATTTCCCAATCTTTCAAATTCTTGATCAACTCCCCATGCAACACCTCATTACTTCTCTGACCCTTGGATCTAACTGATTCCCACGTTTACAGGAACTGAAAATTGAAACTTATTCTAACTTTATTCTTTGAGTTTATTATATAGCTAAATAAAACTTGAATAGTTCCCTTTTCAGCGATGTCTAATTCCTTTCTTGGCCCATAATAATGTGACTAGTGACAGACGGCTCATTGCATTCTTCATTATCTGCAGCTGTCTTAAATCTGTGACCCACAGATCATACAGAGTCTGACTTGAAAGTGAATCTGCGGAAGGCCATGGACTAACATGGAATTGCTGCAGGTATATCCTCTTCAGATACTAGGCACATGAGTACTGCTCTTAGACTTTATGATTGGTCATCTTCGGTACAATATCCCTGATATATGCTTTGAGAAGAACTATTTAGATTTATACCTAGTTTTTGGAGAAAAAGAAAATACCATGTATTACTATTTCTTTCTTCGCGGACTTGTGTGCTTGTACCATGATTCCAGGTGACAGCACCTTTATTGTTGAAGGTGAGTTAATTATTTGTTTGGGATTCTACGGATAGATATTAGCAATGGTAAGGTACCCAGTGGATTGGTCGATCAACCTTGTAGCTGTTTCAAGTATATATTTATGTACATAGCCGTGAAGCGATGCAAAGACCTTCACATGCACTGGATATAACTACTTATTCATCTGATGATAGTAATTTGATTAGGATATTGTGTCAGATAAATCATCAACGGGTGTATATTACAATTTTCTTTACTCAGCATTGTTTAGGATTGTTCATGACTGAAATAAGGCAGGGATCTTGCGGACTTGGATTTTTTTCATAACAGAACCATATATTCTTGACTTGTGAGGTATCTTTATTTTTATTTTATGGTTAAGATATTTTAGATTTTTGCTGGAGAGTAAATCTTATATGCTCAGAATTTAACGTACAAGAACTGGATTTAGATTGAAGGTGCATCTCTTCATCTTTCGTGGAGTACTTTGTACGTTGCCATTCTGTTCATACACCATGGATCAAACTGCCGATTTACCATATCCACTGCTTCTCATCTTAGAAAATATTAAGGTTTTGTTTGGTCAATTTTCCATTTAATATCAGAGTAAATTATTGTTTGTATCCTAAGGGTTGTCATACTACAAAAATTTTAGAACCTAACAAAGAAGATAATACTTGTAAAACTAAGTTATAAAATATAATGTTTTTGTTTATTTTTGAACATGAAAGTTGTACACACATATATATAAATATGTACACAATAACTTTGGAGGATAAATTATAATTTGCTTTGAGCTTTAATGTTAGCCTTGATAATATATAAAGAAAGTATAATTCTATATTTGTCATATCTGTTGTCTTAATTTTTTTGAATGTGAGATTTTCTCGTTGGAAAGAAAATCTCACATCAAAGATTCAAGATAAAAACAGATGTGGTTCGATATATTAAATGTCGTGTGTTCTATCATTATTATAAACATAAATTAAAATAACATAAAAATTGAACTGAATATGTTATAAAAAATTTTTATTTTAGATTTCAAATGTCTTGTTACGCTATTCTTTAATCTGTTTATTCTTGTTCTTTTCTATTTCCTCTCAGACCAATATCCCATAATTTTCACTCATTATCCTCCGCGATCATTTGTCAACCTTTGATTATTAGTAAGTAAAAGCAAATTCAAGCAATAAAAGATACTGGTAAAGCAACTCCCAGCATTGAAGATGCAGACAAGATAAAAAGAATCCAGAGTAAAAGAGGCATATAAGTAATCGTACGAGGGAAATAAAACATAATTAAATCTTTAACTTCCAAGACTAAAGATTTAAAATGTAGATCAAAAGCTAAATACCCGGGCAAGTGTGGAACTTCAGATTTTTATTTGAACTGTTGACATTTACAATAAGAGGAGACAGAATAGTTTGAGAACCCTCAATCACATCCCCGATAAAATATTGGGATGATGATTGTTCGTGAAAAGTACTAGAATGCAAATATCCTTGATGCAAGGCATCAGCAATTGCCTCTCCTTATGTTACAAAATTCATTTCCTGAGATCTTTAGCTGCATAATTCACAGTTGAGGACTACAAAAACATTGCCATTAGCGACATTTTGTAGTGTTATTGCAGACGACTAAAGAAGGTTGTTTCCTGTTATTTTCTATCGCTTTTATCAGCTTCTGCACTTCAGGATTGGAAACAGATGGCTGACATTGTTGTTAGCAGGGATTAGGTTAGAAGGGTTCGTTCTCAAAGCTTGACAAACGAGAGTCTGATAGAACAGTGAACAGCTGTGTGTCTACAAATAACTGCAAGTATCCAAGAAGCAAATTACCAAAAAAAACAATCAGCTCTATAACTGCAAGTCCGAATTGATTAGTTCTGATTGCATATCTTCATCCAGTTAATTTATCTCAAGAATCTCCAAGTCCAGCAGTGAACATTCATATTGCCAAGTCCAGACAAAAAATATTAGATGTGAATGCGTGATTTCTCGACAGAAACACCAATGCCATGAGCTGTCCGGTCAGTAGAGCATGCAATACAATTTAATACCAATATAGATTACAAATTTATTAATGCTAACAAAAATTGAAGGGAGACTTCTAAAAATGAGTCATGACTTTCAGATTAACTGAATTCAACTTGTGTATGGATCTGTGTGTTTCTGTGCATTTTGCATGTACCAATATGCATGTGCTACTAGAATAAAGATTGCAAGTTACCTTAATGAATGCTCGGTCCCTGATAGGGAAAGAATCAATGAAGCTATCTTTAAGAAGTAAGGAAACCTAAAAGGTTGATTTAAGATTCACATGTCAATAAAATATGGCAAGCTGGGCAGTAGGTGACTTTAAAGGAAGAGAAGAAATTTAGACAATACTCTGTCATTGTTGGATTGCACGCTGGTTATTGTATGAGATCTTAAATCAGAACAAATAGACTCCAGGTAATGCCTCATGGCGTCCAGAAATTGCATTGCAGCTTCAGCCTGGCACAAAACTTAGTTGCTTGTAAAAGTAGCACAAAATGCAAGCTTCCACTCCAAAAGAGCGCAAAAACAGGAAACAGAAAAAGAATGTGATATAAGAGACAAGGAATATCGGTTCACAAGAAAGTTTCTTTTTATATTTAGATACCCAAAAAGAATTTAGTTTGAACAGGACTGCGGATAGATTAAATATTCGTGTCACCTAATAGATCATATTGAGAACTCAACAATCAATTTCACATACTGTACCTGCTTTCTTTTCAGTTATCTCTTTCATTCTTGTTTGTTTTTGCTAGATAATACCCCCTTTATTCTTGTTAGTAAAGGGAAAAACCATATACAAAATTGTACGCAAAACCGATCATTCTTGTTTTCATTCTAGTCCAAAATAGCTTAAAGCATAAAATAAGATAAGAAATAGATTGTATGCAATATAGATCATTCTGTTTTCTTTCTAGTTCTAAGTACCTTAAAGTCATAAATGAGATCAGAAATAGCCCCACACATTATTCAAATAAAAATAAATAATATAAAGATATATTTTGAGGGCGAAAAATCTTTAAAAAAGTCTATATAATTGTTTCGGTAATTACACAAATTATTTCAGCAAAAAAAGACCTTGTTACCTTAAGCTTTTTTCTTTTTGAGATAAGCTTGTTACCTTAAGCTGTTACGATTTTTTAACAAACTATTCTAAAACATGATATTGTTTTGGGATCTGGATATCTCTTACACCTTTCTATATACAAGATGAAGGATAGAATTTGAAGTCAACTCATCAACTTACAATAACATCATTATCTTATTTAAGCTAAACGCTCTTGACTGAAGTAAAATATTTACATCCAAAATTATCAAGTGAATTTCACATAAATATGACCTTGTACCAAAATATTTGATAACAGATTGTGTACAACACTCACTACCAGATATGAACAACAAATGATACAAAATCATCTTTGACTTTTGCATTTCTTTCTAGTTTTGGTATTCAAAATAACACCATTCAGATGTTTTTGGCTCAGGAAATAAACAGATGTACAAGTAAAACCTGGTTCTTTAGTTATTTTTCCATTGCATAAATAAAAAAAAAAAGGAAAAAGAAAAAACTACAACAAGCTTCTATACTCACTGTCTTCTTACAGTCTAATTGCTGTCTTTTATTTATCATCTTAAATATTATCCTAAGTTCTATTTGTTTTCTTCAAGTAGAATTATTAATTACATATCTTTTTTATTATTTTATGGTTACATAATCGAGACAAGTATTTATAACTTGTAAGTTTTTTTTAAAAAAAAAAGAAAGAAAAAGAAAGCAAATCTAAACAGCCTCATCATATCTAATATTTCTTTTATAGATATACTTTTGAGTAAGCAGTCAGTACATACCTGCACCTCATTACACCTATATACTGGATGCCTTTTAGCAGTAGAGCTCTCGCATGAAAGTCTAGCATGGATTGGCCTGAGCTGAGAAATAAGTTCTTTATATCGCGGCAGTGCTGGTAAATAATACATTTTCACCTGAAGAGGAAGAGTTAGAGGTAATGAGTACAATTGGAACTTCCTTGGTTTAAACAGCTTGAGGTGACCATAAGAATCACTAAGAAGGTCAAAAGCCATATAAAAAAATTTGTTAACAGATTTTAATACTTTCTGTTTGTTTAGAACAATGAATATACTGTGCATTTCCCTTGAAGCCATATGCAAGAAGAACGTCAACTAAAGGTTTCCTTCTTTAATTGGGTAGTTTTGAAGGAAAAGGATTTTGACCATTGAGAACTCAAGAAAAAGAAAGATTTTAGTTAGTTGGCAAAGCAGGGTCCTCAATCATCCACTCATTTAGTGCACTATGAAAAAGAAGCTTTGGGTCATTGGCTGGCTTGTCTTTGGTTTATGGCAGTTCTATTGAGGTGAAATTTCGGGTTGAGAAAATTTGATCCACAAGGAGAGAGAAGAAGGCTACCAGCTTTGTCCTATGCCTACTTCTTTGGATTGTTTGCAAAGGAAGAAATAGGAGGGTATTCCATGATGCTCGAGGTTCCTTAGATTTTATCAAAGAAAAATGGCTCCATACTTCAAGTTTTTGATTTAATGGGAATTCAATTGTAAACAAGGGTATGACAGAGCATACAGAGGTTTAGTCTTGCAATAGTTTTGTTCTATGGCTTGCATCCTCACTTGATACTCTTTAATGAATTTGTTTTCTTTTTCTTTTCTGATCCTCTTTAATAAATTCCTTTTTTTATAAAATGAAGCTTCTTTAAAGCTAGATTCAAATTAAGCATGCAAAAGATGATCCAAAAGCTTACAGACCTGGTCCTTAAGCACATTAACTTGAACAACACTAGATGATTTTATCTTCAAATCAGCAGGCTTATTTTGTATACCAACCTGCAACATCGACACAAATTTCCAAATCAAAACAACAAATTTCTAATAATACTTCAAATGATTTCTTGTTCTCTATGTCCTTCAATTATTAGTGGAATATTTTAATGTCCTGTGAATTTAGACCATCTTCTGAACGATCATAATATTCATTTTTTCTTATTTTAGTTCCTCAAAAGGCTATTTCCCACAATCAACCTCCTATAGTTTACAAAAAGAGTGAATTTGAAATAGCATCCATTGAAACACAACAATGAGTTGTAGAGAATACAACACCACCGATAAAAACAACAGCAACAACGAAAATAACAAAGAAATCACATGAAATGAATGTTGTTATCAGACAGTTTTTATCTTTACAATATTGAAGTCAGTTAATATTAAAAAAAGGCTAAATATAAGAGGTCAATATAAATAAGAAAATTAAACAAAAATATCTTGTAAACTTAAAAAGCATATATTTTTTTAAAAATAATTAAAAATTTCAAAGACTGAAATTAAAAGTAAAAGATCATATTCATGATTATTCAAGTAACAAGACTCACTCATAGTTTCAGTTGTCATTTAACCATATATTCTACTCAGTTAAACCTTATGTATTACCAGATAATTTTGTTAATGTCCCTAAAATTCTATTACGTGAAATTCTTCAATCAAATGTCGAAAAAAGAAGTTGCAAAAGGTTAATGCAGATGCAATCAAAATGGATAAGAGTAGTGTCAAAATGTGAAGTAGGAAAATCAAGAGACAGCAAAAGAATTTCCATCATGGGGCTAAAATCAAACACGTTTTAATGGGTTTCTAATTAGATATATTAAAATTTATGACCTTGGTTCTTGTCAAAGAAAATTATGAATTCATTAACTGAGTTGTAATAAGTCAATTGTATAGTGCAAAAATATTAGGAGAAAATCCAGAAGAAATATGCAGAAATATTAGGAGAAAAATAAAATAAAATCTAAATTTAATACAAGAATCTTAAACAGAAAAGTTTCCTAAACCTTTTAGAAATATATTTTCTATCCTATTTTTGGGGGCATACAGATTTGGTATCCAACCCTGTAAACCATGAAATAAAAATTACAGTTTTCTTCATGGTATCAGAATATGGTTCTCTGTTCTATCTATCCAAAAATACCCAGAATGCTGAAGTACAGCATGGCTCACCATCTTTAAACCTCAAAGCCAGAAGTTGTGCATTCAGAAGAAATTATTCTTCTGAGGAACAACAAGATGGATAATCCGATGATATCCATCACCACATACAAGTTAAATAGCCAAAACTACCTACCTTGGTCGCAGA